GACAGATAGACAAACAGACCGACAGATAGACAGACAGACGGACTAACTGACTGACTGAGGGACCTGGCAGCTCACAGGCTCTGTATTTGTATGATGATACTGATGATGACAAAGGTTTTATAGATAAAATGCATATAATTAAAAAGCCATCAATGATGAAAGGAAAACATTGTAACTTACCTTGTTGTCTCGGAAACGGCCGCAGTATTTGAAGTTTGCGTACTGGTACTCCCCGAATCCTTCCCATTTGCCCTTGCGCCAGGATCCCCTGGTGAACGGTTTTAAAAAGATTAGTGTAGGCGTATTTTATTTACTCCCCATCGACACAGCTTAAAACATTTAAACGGTGGGCTTCAGACCCTGCCTGTAAGGGCCAACACTGGCTGAGAAGGATATGATATTTCCCCCTCAGCTGCAAGTTGTATGTGCCTTACAGTCTATTGATATTATTACCACAACCCACCACAGAGCACCCAGAAACATTCTCAGCTTCTAGCTAGGCATACAGTGCAAGCAGCCGATTAAGCCCTCCAACACTGACAAATTGACATGATCTTGCGCGGTACAAACCCAGTAACCATTCTTACCTGAGTGTAATGAGGAAAGATGGCGTAAAGCGCCTTTCCCAAAGTGCACCAAAATGTCGGGCCTAAGCCTCGAACCTTGAAACTTGAACCCCGAACCCGTAACCTCATGACTACGAGTCCGGCAGCCTATCCACTAGACTGCCGGCGCCATCATGGGCCCAACGTTGCGCTTGACGCCCTTATCAACTAAGCCTCGAACCGCCGAACCCGCGAACACGCGTCCTCACGATTACAGGTCCGGGAGCCTTACAACTAGCCCACCACCGACATCATTATAATAATTATAGTGGTTCAGCCTTCATAAGAACATGGACTGGCCTGAATATGGCAGTATGCGCAACGGCAACTCGTGACCGTGAAAGATGGAGAGTCATTACACGTCAACCTCTGAGTTAGAGATGACACCTCCAGGTATCCCGGTAGCAGTGGTTCAGCCTTACGTGTATTTGGAGCCGTCCTGAGCGTACGTATAGGTTCCTTTGCCGTGTCTCAGTCCCTTCTTCCAGTCGCCTTCATAGGTGTCGCCGTTGATGTAGGTGTATTTGCCCGTGCCGTCCTTGAGGTCGTCCACCCAGTTGCCTTCGTAGCGGGAGCCGTCGGGGTAGATGAACAGACCCTGGCCCGGAGAAAAGGAGAGGGTTGGGTGGGTGGGTGAGGAGGTGTGTTGAAAGGGGGTGGGAGTG